AGGAGCTACACCGAGGACCAGTAGGTCACTTAAGAGAATGGTCGAACCAAGAGCCAGATGGTGTCTTCAAAGTCAATCTGGACCGAGACCAGTTGGTCTCTTCAGAGTCAAGCTGGACCGAGGCCAGTTGGCCTCTTCATAGACAAGCTAAACGGTGAGCCAACCCTTGTTCCAGCTGGTCGCTGAAGAAAACAATTCAGTGACCAGCTGGAACAAGGGCCAGTTAGAATCTTCAGAGACCAGCTGGGCAGACGGCCAGTTGATCTCTTCAGAGACCAGCTGGGCAAAGGGCCAGTTTATCTCTTCAGAGTCCAGATGGGCAAAGGGCCAGTTGATCTCTTCAGAGTTCAGATGTGCAAAGGGCCAGTTGATCTCTTCAGAGTTCAGATGGGCAAAGGGCCAGTTGATCTCTTCAGAGACCAGCTGGGCAAAGGGCCAGTTGATCTCTTCAGAGACCAGCTGGGCTGAGGACCAGTCGGTCTCCCCAGAGACAAGCTGGACAGAGGGCCAGTTGATCTCTTCAGAGACGAGCTGGACAGAGGGGCATTTGATCTCTTCAGAGACCAGCTGAGCAGAGGGCCAGTAGATCTCTTTAGGGACCAGCCAATTGGTCTTTTCATAGACCAGCTGGACCAGCCAGCTTTGTCTCTTCAGAGACGCACTGGATCGAGGGCCAGTTGATCTCTTCGGTGAGGAGCTAGACCAAGTGCCAGTTGTTCTCTTCAGAGACGTGCTGGACCAAGGGCCAGTTGGTCTCCTTGGGAACAGGGGCCGGCAGGTCTCTTCGGATTAGACGGGCCTGCTGATCTACATATAGACGAGCAGGACCGGGCCTGCTGGTCTACATATAGACGAGGTAGACCGGGGCATGCTGGTATATATAGACAAGCTAGACCAGACAGCTGGTCTACTTATAGACGAGCTGGGCCGGGGCCAGCTGGTCTGCTTATATACGATCTGGACGGAAGGCCACCTGGTCCCCGAGCTGGACCAAAACCATCTAGTGTACCTATAGGCGAGTTGGACATTTATACAGCTGGTCCACATATCGACGAGCTGGACCGGGATCCAGCTGGTCTACATATAGACGAACTGGACCGGGATCCAGCTGGTGCACATATCGACGAGCTGTATCGGCACCAGCTGGGCTACGTATAGACGAGCTGAACCGGTATTTAGCTGGTCCACATATCGACGAGTTGGACCGGGATCCAACTGGTCTACATATAGGCGAACTGGATCGGGACCAGCAGGCCTAAATGTAAACGAGTTGTATCGGCGCCAGCTGGTCTACATATAGACAAGCTGGTTTACTTATGGACAAGCTGACCGAGTCGGCTATTCTCAATGAACAAACTGACAGGTTCAGGTGATCGGGCCAGCTTAGTATATGTAGACAAAAGCCAGCAGATTTTCTAAAAACGATCAACAGGATGAACTCCACAAATTGGGACTTAAAAAAGACGAGCTGGAATCGATCAGCTGAGCCTATTTCAATCCATTTTTTACAATATCCGACCGAATCGTAACACAATTTTTATTATAATCAAGCCTGACCAAAATATTTAATATTCAATAAATATTCACAAATACCAAGAATATCTTCCAATCGCAACATTCTCCTCCATATATGGGTTTGTTGTCATTTTCATCGTCCTCTGCTTCTTACACGTGGAACATGAGCCGTTATTGGCGTGTTATTGATTGGAATCTCAGTGAGGCATAAACGAACATAACACGTTCGCTCATTTGCGCTTTAACAGCTAAACACGTATGAGTGCGTTTCCACAATCTCCACCCCACCCCAACTCGTCTCAAACACCAGCTTACCTTTCAACGAAGCGAAACTCGACGAACATCGAAATCAACGGCTGGCATCTATCAATGGCGCCGTCTTGGTTGACACATTTGAATGGTGGCTGCCGTTGCGGCTGCGGCTGTGGCTGCTATTGTCACTCATCATCACTTCCAAAATGGGCAGCACCCTGCAGGCATCATGTCTGCGCCTTGGATTATGCCTTGTTTCTGATATTGCCTTCGCTGTTGTCGCACTCCTTGGTGTCGTCTTCGCCGTCGTCGTCTTCATCTTCATCTTTCTGTATGCTTGGCGGTGGATAATGTTAGGATTTGTTAGAACTAATGATAAGCACAGACTGTGGATACAATTTCATTTGATGACTCGTTCCAATATCTATGGAAAAGAGATAAAGACGAAATCAATACGGATTGAATGAAACGATATGTTTTAAATTGGGTTTTTATTGGAGCGACAAATTGCCATGGCAATACAAATTTGATTGTGCGTGCCACATACCAATATGGTTGGAATAAACAATTTGTATGGAAAATATCTGGAGGTTAATTACCTCAAGGGTAAATAAAAAAAAAAATTATTCATTAACATTGAAGGAAATGATTAAAAAAATATATATAAATATTTAATTAAATTCCGAATTTAATTTTGAAGGTAATTTCCACCATACCTTAATTTACAAAATACTTGAATATTATTACCCCAAATTTCTCACACAATTTAATGTCATGTTTATTGTCCTGACTATCATAATTTGACTCTCATAGGACTTCCACTTTTTTCTCCCCCTCCCCAGGTGTTATCAGACACCAAAAGGGTGAATTTCATGGTTGGGGAAATTTTTCTGATTATTCTGTTCTGATTTATCTTTACCGCAAAGCCGACAGGAATTGAGCAGGTGGACCACATATTTTATTGTATCTGGTAATCCCCACGGACTAGAAACTGACTTAGGATATAATATCTCAAAACGAGAAAATCGAACATTTATATCCAAATTTATGCGAAATAATAAATTCCATATTCATCTCAGGTTTCTGGTTGAGTTTTATGGAATCGCTCACTTGTTTAACAAGTTATGACAGAAAAAATATTGAAAATTGTGTGGGTGAGGTATCATAAGGTGTTCGCAGATATATTTCATTTTCACAACAAATCTTGTGTCAGAAAAAATGTTTGCATGAGTGAAACTTGAAGAGAGTTGGATGCTTATTTCGCTTTCTTTGAGGGTTTTGTTTTTCAAAATCGTGAACCTTATGTTGAGAGGTACCAAAAGAAATGGTCCGATATCTACCATCTTTCTACGAGATCTTGTGTTGATGAAAATATTGAGATGACCACGTATAAATGAAATCGGATGTTAATTCTGCGTTTTATGAGCTTCATGGGTATTCAACCCTTTGACCCTTTGTGGAGGTACCAGAAGGCGAAGACCGATATACTCCATCTTCAAAGTAGACCTTGTATATGTAGAAACATTGGGATGTATAAAATATGAAGAGAACCGGGTGCTTATTTCGGATTTTAAAATCGGTTTGCTAATTCAAAACTTTGACCTTTTGTGGGGGAGGTATCGGAAGGAATGGTCCGATATCTACCATCTTCATAACAGATCTTGTGTTGATAGAAAAATTTAGACGTTCCAAGTCTGAAGAAATCGGATATTAATTTCGCGTTTTATGGGCTTCATATTCAATATTCTGATCCTTTGTGGGGGAGGTACCAGAAGGAGTGAAAAAATATAATTTATCTTCACACCAGACCTTGGGTTAATAAAAATATTGTGATTTGTATAATTTCAAGAGAATCGTACTCTTACATCACATTTTATAAGAGTTATAATTATTCAAAATTTCGACCCATTGTGGTGGAGGTACTCGATGGAATGGACCGATATTTTCCATTTTCGCATCTGACCTGGAACTGATGCAAGTATAAGGATTCGCAAAGTTGGAGCAAAATAGGATTATCCTTTCACTCACTGTAAAACATTTTCTTTGAAAATTTCGACATTTCGTGGGGAAGGTACCAAAAGGGGTGGACCGATATCGCCCATCTTCGAATTCGAACTAAATTTGATGATAATATGACGATGTACGATGTTTAGACCAAATCTGATATTCCCTTCGAGATTTATCAAGTGCACCAGCCAGACAGGCAGACGGACAGACGAACATCGCTAGATCGACTCTAAATATCCTAATGCGGATTTGGTCCAAAGAGACCTAGCGTCCAAGACCGTTATTTCGATAAGACACATTTTGGTCGTATCAAATGATATATATCCTCTCTAGCCTGAGGGTATTACTAGCCATATGACTGATGGCATAAAAAAATGATCGAGAAAACCCCATTGTTGACCCGCTGGGGGTTAAAATTTTTAACCAGAATATTTTTCGTATTTTAATTGGAATACTGTCGAAGACACTATATAACTAAAATGCATGGATTCCGAAAAATTTTAATGCGAGCATTTCGAAAATCGTGGAAGAGGGAAGAATCTTCTCTACCTATATCGTAAACTTTCAAAACGCCGATACGCCTGTCTTCTTTTTTAACTCCACTAATAATCTGCTGGATTTTTCCAGACAGTGAGATAGAAGAACACATCTAGATCGACTCCAAATGTCCTGAAGCAGATTTGGTTCAAAGAGACCTAGGCTCTGAAACTATTATTTCGATGAGGGACATTTTGGCCGTATCAAATAATATATACCCTCGGTGGCTATATGGCTAACATCTACGTTATTCTAATATATTCTTTAAAATCGGCAAATATTCTATAAAGATTATTGATTTTCAAAAAATTAGAAAATATTTATTTAGAAATTCACGTTGAAGGACATTAAAAAAATTCGGAAAGTCCACGTTAATGACTCGTTTAGAAAATATTCTTTTAAAATCTACATTTATGAAAAAACGGAAAATATTAAAAAATTCATGTATATGGCTATGTGAATCTTTTAGAAAATATTCTTTTAAAATTATCGCTAAGAATCTCCAAAAAATCAGACAATATTGTTTGAAAATTCCACTTTGGTGGCTCTGGGAATCCTTCAGAAAATGTTCTTTAAAAAATCCACATTTATGGCTCCAGGAATCCTTGAGAAAATATTCTTTACAAAACGACGTTTATGTTTCTGGCAGTTTCTTAAAAAAATTCTTTGAAAAATCTACGTTTATGGCTTTGGGATTCCCTGTGGAAATATTCTTTTAAAAATCCTCGTTAAGAATGTCTGAGAACCCTCCATAAAATATTCTTTAAAAAATCTACGTTTATGGCATTGGGATTCCTTGTGGAAATATTTTTTAAAAAATCCACGTTAAGAATTTCTGGGAATCCTCCAAAAAATATTCTTTAAAAAAATCCACGTTTACTGTCCTTCAAAAAATATGCTTAAACGATCCACGTTTCTGATTCTGGGAGTCCTTCAAAAAAATCCTCGTTAAGAACCTCTGAAAAATCCTTGAGAAAATGGATATCCTTCGGAAAATGTTGTTTAAAAAATCTACGTTTAAGGCTGTGAGAATCCTTGAGAAAATATTCTTTAAAAAATCCACATTTATGGCTGTGAGAATATTTGAGAATATATTCTTTAAAAAATCCACGTTTGTGGTTGAGCGAATCCTTGAGAAAATATTCTTTAAAAAATCCACATTTATGGCTGTGAGAATATTTGAGAATATATTCTTTAAAAAATCCACGTTTGTGGTTGAGCGAATCCTTGAGAAAATATTCTTTAAAAAATCCACGTTTATGGTTGAGCGAATCCTTGAGAAAATATTCTTTAAAAAATCCACGTTTATGGTTGTGGGAATCCTTGAGAAAATATTCTTTAAAAAATCCACGTTTATGGCTTTAAGAATCCCTCAGAAAATATTATTTAAAAATCCATGTTTATGGCCTAGGGAATCCTTGAGAAAATATCTGTAAAAAACCACTTTTGTGGCCCTGGGAATCCTTCAAAAAAATATTTTTTTAAATCCACGTTTTTGTTTTTCAGAGTTCTGTAGATTTTTTTAATCCACATTTTTTATTTTAAGAATTCTTTAGACATTTTTTTTTTTAAATTCACATTTATGTTTCTGGGAGTCCTTCAAAATATATTCTTTAAAAAATCCACGTCAATGGCTCTCGAAACACTTTAGAAAATATTCTTTGATAATCCATTTTGTTGGCTCTTGGAATCCTATAGAAAATATTTTTTAAAAATAAAATCCTAGTTTATGGCTCTGGGAATCCTTAAGAAAATATTTCTATAAGAAATCACATTAATGACCCTAAGAAATCCAATTCAATAGAAATTGTCCACATTTTTGGCTATGGGCATTTTTCGGAAAAAAATACTTAAAAAATAATAAAATGTTTTTTTTTAAGTTATTGGCCATTTACAGAGATTAGATGTTTTTTTTAACTTATTTCTTTCTCTAATGCTCTTATTACTTGTTGATTCCTCCTCCGCCCCCCTTTCTGCTTTTATTTGCTTAAGTTGCTTTATTATGCATTTCGTTTCAATCATCAATTAGTCTTTTTTTCGCATTCACTTTTAATTATCTTCTCTTCATTGCTTTAGGATTAATAGATTCAAATGATATACTTTATTTAAGCAGTTTTTTCTCTTTTTTTTTTTTGAATATTCATTATCAGAATGATGCTTTAGAGATAATGAGCAATTTTCTAAAAAAAATTCAAATTAATTTTGGATTTTATTTCTCTACGCTTCGTCTTCTTTAACATATTCCCTCGTTTTATCAACAGGACTAATCTGTGTTTTTCTTTCGTTCTCCGAGTTTAATATGTTAATGGAACACTTAAATCACATGTGCATACACACATACATACACATACTCATACATACACACAAAATAAATATTCAAATATAGAGTAGAACTTACATAGAATATTGTCAGGATTAGTAGAAGGCTGTGTGGCACATGCAGTCGTGTTGCCAGTTCGTGTTGCATGGCGGCATGTTTTTCACTATTGATGATATGTACAAAAACACTGTCGCTATCTGTGGAGTGGTGTAAGCGGTTCCGGAAGCATTGTCGGGGGCCATGGCGAATGTTCAAACAGCAGCCACGTCACAATGTCAGGAATGCGTGTTGTTGTCGTTGAAAGAAGAAGAAGAACAAGTTGTTGGGAAAAACAAACAAGCAAGTCAACAAAAATAATAGAGATAAACAAAAGCGTTTACATGAACGCTTGAATAGGTTATGATGGCAAACAATGCGGTTGCTGACTGGTCCTTTAAAAAGGACACAAACATTGCTGTCTTTTTTTTCTGTTTTCTGTTTCCCGACCGATTATTGTTAAAGCCATGCTCGAGTAATACTCACTTGAATTGTCTGCCGCACACGTATAGTTGCCCGAGTCCGTGTGTGTTACGCGTGAAATCACCAGATTGCTCGTTTTCATTTGCTGCTCGGATACAACCCGTATGCCACCCCTTGTCGAGTCGTTGATTAGTTCGCTGTCCTTGTACCACAGCATGTGGGTGTATGGGCCGGGCGCCTGTGGTGCTATGCAGGTTAAATTGATGTCACTACCACTTTGCACGAACAGTTCTCGATTCGAGAGAATTTGTGCCTTGGATGCTGCGATGGAACAATACAAAAGGAAAGGGGTGAGAGAGGGGCGGAAAGAGAGGAGAAACAAATGTGGAATATTAACATAAATATTTTTAGCTTAATCTTAATTAAAATAGATTCCAAAAATAGTGCCAGTAATTATTGGTAGGCATGATGGTAGGCAAGGTTTATGGATATTGTTCGTGAAAATTGTTAATGAAAGGATATTTAATGGATATTAAATAAAATATGTTTCTGTGCGGGCAAATATGTTTGCAATTAGAGGAATTTTATGGCTAGGTTTGTGGTATTAGGATAAGTTAAGGAAAAATGTAGGAGGTTGATTTAATATTAAAAAAAGTAATCTTTGGGGGCTCTGGGAGTCCTTGGGAAAATATTCTTTAAAAAAACTACTTTTATGGCTCTGGGAATCCTTGAAAAAATATTCATTAAAAAATTAACATTTATGGCTCTGGGAATCCTTGAGAAAATATTCTTTAAAAAATCTACTTATATTGCTCTATGAATAGTTTAGAATTTTTTTTTTTTTTTTTTAATCTATGGATCTGGGATTCCTTCAGAAAATATTCTTTACAAAATCCATGTTTATAGCTATGGGAATCCTTGAGAAAATATTCTTTCAAAAATCTATGTTTATAGCTCCTTGAGAAAATATTGTTCAAAAAATCCAGGTTTATGGCTCCTGAAATCCTTGAGAAATAAAATCCACGTTAATGGTTGTGGGAATCCTTAAGAAAATATTCTTTAAAAAATCCAAGTTTATGGCTTAGGGAATCCTTGAGAAAATTTTCTGTCAAAAATCTACGTTTACGGCTTCTTGAGAATCCTTGAATCCTCTGGGAAAAAATATTCTTCATATAATCCTCATTTAGAGCCTTTAAAAATTGCGTCAGAAAATATTCTTTAAAAATCCACGTTCATGGCTCTAAGAATCCTTGAGAAAATATTTTTTAAAAAAATCTACGTTTATGGCTCCTTGAGAATCCCCAGAAAATATTCTTTAAAAATTCAATTTATGGCTCTTTAAAAAAATCCGTTTATGGCTCTGGAAATCCTTGGCTCTAGAAATCCTTGAGAAAATATTCTTTAAAAAATCCACGTTTATGGCTCTGGGAATCCTTCAAAAATACTCCTATATTCTGTAAACATCCACTTTGGTGGCTCTAGAATTCCTTGAAAAAATCTTCTTGAAAAAATCGGCATAGACAGGGTGAGATAAAACAAGTAAGCAAAGGCTACAGTCGAGCGGGGCCGACCGTTGAATACCCTACAACACTATAATAAATGATACAGATTATATAGGCCAGATACTCGAAAGAATTCTACAAGATATTGTGACAAATAATAAAAGAAAACCATCAGGTTTCGTTCTCTAATTTTCGAATAATAGAAACTTGAACTAATTTGCTCATTTCCAATTTATAGGTAGATGTTGCACATAAATGGTCTTCCTAGATCTGGAACCAATATTTCCCAAAGACCTATAATCTCTCAGAAGTGGCAAAAGATTAACATTTATTATTGGTTTTTGACTGAAACGCATCTATATGAGATACAAACATTTGACTATATTCTTCAACGAAATCAGCCTTAACGAAATAGTCAGAAGTGCGTCTTCCCTGTATTTGTGAATTCTCCAAAAAGTCACTGGAATGGATATTTTCGTATTTTGTCTACAAAAGTTGGCAAACTATTTCACATATTGAATATTTTTGAACGGCCATCCAAAACTATTTGGCTTTTGCAATGTCCGGTAACTTCCATTCAAATGCGCGTGAAGATCGGGCGATAATTACGACTTGCTGACAATTTTGCAGGTTTTTTTTTGTCTATTTCAACCCCTAAATATATGGCTATTATCTCCAAAAAGAGTAGGCTTCTATTCTGACCCTCATCTGATCCCCATGCACAATTTCGTTAGGATCGGGCCATAAATGCGATCTGTATATGATATCCTGATATCCTAACTACTTAGTTTTGTTAGCTGTAGAAATATTACCAAATGTTTAATTCAAAATGAAAACATGCCAAAGATATGACAAAATTGAAAAAATATGAGAAAATATTACAAAATGAATATTTTCATCTTTAGAGAGATATTTTTACGCAATTTTTTAGACGTTTTTTCTTTTCTGCCAAGAGGCCATTTTGAATTAATGAGAACTGTCGAAATCAGTTCAGCCGTTCTCGATATATAAGAGATCTTTCAAGCATATCTTTTTTGATAGACATATATATCGCACATATTTTGCTATATATCCGATTTGATGGATGTTAACATCAATGTTAAGATCAGAAGTAACCTTGTCATGGCTTTGTGATTTCGCCGGGATTTAAAATATTCGCGGTTTAATGATAAATTTAGAATGTTTTAAACACAAAGGATATGGTCTATTTTACCCGCTAAATATTATCCTATGACCACCCAAACTGGTAGGCTTCTTCCCCGCCCTAAACTCTAGCTACGTGCGAAATTCCGCGTCGATTGGTCTATAATTGCGACCTATAGAGCAACTGCAAAATCTGGATTTTTTCAGTTTTTGGTCCATTTCAACCCCTAAATACTATGCGATCATCTCCAAAAGAAATAGGGTTCTATTCTGACCTTAACCCCACCTACATTCTAAATTTCGTGAAGATCGGGCCATAATTGCGACCTGTAGAGTGATTACAAATTAACATGGACAGACGGACAGACGGACAGACGGACGGACGGACATACATAGCTAGATCGACTCAGCTCGGCGAGCTAGGAAGATCCATATATACTTTCCTATATGGGAAACCAATATTTCGAGGTGTTACATAAATTCTGGCCCAATCAAACTTATAATACCCCCAACACATAGTGTTGTAGGGTATAAAAACTGCAACAAAGTCAAAAGTCATTTTTGTACATTTTTTATACCCTACAACACTATGTGTTGGGGGTATTATAAGTTTGATTGGGCCAAAAATTATGTAACACCACGAAATATTGATTTCCCACATAGGAAAGTATATATGGATCTTCCTAGCTCGCCGAGCTGAGTCGAAATTTCGCATGTAGATAGAGTTTAGGGCGGGGAAGAAGCCTACTAATTTGGGTGATCATCGGATAATATTTAGCGGGTAAAATAGACCATATCTTTTGTGTTGAAAAATTCAACATTTTTCATTAAACCGTGAATATTTTAAATCCCGGCGAAATCACAAAGCCATCACAAGGTTACTTCTGACCTTTGCATTGATGTTATTATCCAACAAATCGGATATATAGCAAAATATGTGCGATATATATGTCTATCAAAGGAGATATGCTTGAAAGATCTCTTATATGTCGAGAACGGCTGAACTGATTTCGACAGTTCTCATTAATTCAGAATGGCCTCTTGGCGGGAAAGAAAAAACGTCTAAAAAAATCGCATAAAAATATCTCTCTAAAGATGAAAATATTGATTTTGTAAAATTTTCTCATATTTTTTCAATTTTGTCATATTTTTGGCATATTTTCATTTTGAAATAAACATTTGGTAATATTTCTACAGCTAACAAAACTAAGTAGTTAGGATATCAGGATATCATATACAGATCGCATTTATGGTCCGATCCTTACGAAATTTTACTTGGGGATAAAGTGAGGGTCAGAATAGAAGCCTACTCTTTTTGGAGATGATCGCCATATATTTAGGGGTTGAAATGGACCAAAAAACTGCAAAATTGTCAGCAGGTCGTAATTATCGCCCGATCCTCACGCACATTTGAATGGGGTTTAACGGACATTGCAAAATCCAAGCAGTTTTGGATGGCCATCCAAAAATATTCAATGTGTGAAATAGTTTGCCAATTTTGTAGACAAAATACGAACATGTCCATTCCAGTGACTTTTTGGAGAATTCACAAATACAGGAAAGACGCACTTCTGACTATTTTTTTTAACACTAATTTCGTTGAAGAATATAGTCAAATGTCTGTATCCCATATAGATGCGTTTCAGTCAAAAACCAATAATAAATGTTAATCTTTTGCCACTTCGGAGAGGTTATAGGTCTTTGGGAAATATTGGTTCCAGATCTAGGAAGACCATTTAAGTGCAACATCTACCAATAAATTGGAAATGAGCAAATTAGTTTAAGTTGCTATTATTCGAAAATTAGAGAACGAAACCTGATGGTTTTCTTTTATTATTTGTCACAATATCTTGTGGAATTCTTTCGAGTATCTAGCCTATATAAACTGTATGGTTTATTATAGTGTTGTAGGGTATTCAACGGTCGGCCCCGCTCGACTGTAGCCTTTGCTTACTTGTTTAAATTTTATTGAATGTAAACAAAAAATTTTGGAAATAGCATTAAATTTAAAATAAGTTTGGACTTGTTCGAATTGGTCACTTTTGACACGAATTATGGCCTTCAAACGGCCAATGAAACCGTCATATGCTGCCCGAATGTTGCTCTGCGGTATTTTGGCCCATTCCCATTCCCGGCGAACCGCTTGCTTGAGGTGATCGACACTTTGATATTTTTTGGTGCCAACCTTGCTCTCCAAAATACTCCAGACACAATAGTCCAACGGATTGGTATCCGGAGATTTTGGTGCCAATTGTGCGCTGGAAATGAAGCCAGGAACCTCATTTTGTGACTATTCTTGGGTGGCGTGTGCTGAGCGCGATGGTGCTGAGTCCTGTTGGAATGTTCAAGGTCTGCGGCCAAAATGTTAGCGTTTCCAAGGCTTTAATGCACCCTCCAGAATATGTTCGCGATAATATTCTTCATTTTTTCTGATGCCACGGTCGATTAATACGAGCGGAGGGCTACCATCGACTGTTATGGCGGCCCACACCATCACCATGGCCGGCGCTTGAGTTCTGGTGGCCAACCAGTGTAAGTTCTTGCACTTTTTGGAATTTAAATGGTTTTACCCCAAGCTCATTTTTCAATATTTGCCGAATGGAACATTGCGATATGTTCAGCTCATGAGCTATTTTTCGGCCACGGCGACGCGGGTTTCGATCTTTACTTTTCGAACCATTTCTGCTGTTGTTGCTTTTTTCTTCCGTCCACTTCCTTGAAGTTGGGCTACATTACCAGTATCACGGTAACGAGCGATGATACGAGACAAAAGATTTATTCTCATTTAAATGCAGGAGTGCTTTAACGATAACCTCTTGTGTCTTTCCAGCCAAATATAAAGAAATCACACTATCACGCTTGAATTCAATCACGCATAACTTTTTTTCTCGAAAATTCTCACCAAAATTATTTTGTACACTTGTAAACAATAAAATAACCTGTCACTGGAATAATTTTAACAGCTCTCGGACGAGTGGCTTAGAAATTACAACAGTCTGAATTTGGTTGCAGTTTTTTCATCTCACTCTGTATGGCTCTTGGAATTCTTCGGAGACTTTTTTAAATGCACGTTTATTGATCTGGGAATCCTTGAGAAAATATTCTTTAAAAAACCACATTTATGGACCTGGGAATTCTTGTGATAGTCTTAATAAATCCACATTTCCTGCAGAAAATATTCCTGAAAAAATCCACTTTTGTTGATGAGGGAATCCTTGAGAAAATATTCTTAAATAAATCCTTTTTTATAGATCTGGGAATCCTTCAGAAAATATTCTTAAAATAAATATTCTTAAAAAACTTCCAAAAAAATTACTTACTGACAACTGTCAATTTATAAGCTTGACTAATTTTTGGTTCTGTCGACACCTGACACTCATAGATGCCCGCATCTCGTGGCTGCACCGACACGATTTTCAGCACCCATTCATCCGAATTGTCTATGTGTCGCGCCAGAAATCGTTGATCATTTGTATATGTCATTATGCCAATTGTCAGAATGTGTAAATCTCGTTTTCGTATCCACGACACGGCGCGATCTCCCAAATTTCGCACACGACAGTGCAGCCGTGCTGTGGTGCCTACCGCACCTATGACATCACGATTTGTTGTGTTCTCAAATTCAGGTTCCTGCTGGTCATAGCTGCCAAGGATCATATTGTTGATATCGTGGAGGGATGATACTGAGGTGTCGTTGGTCAACATTTTCATGGCTGGAATGAGAAATGAAAAATATTTTGTAAATTTAATAAAAGCTCATGCTAATAAATAAATTAAAACATAATAATTTTTAACAGATAATTTGATGTGACATCCCAGAAACGGTTGTATTTTTTTTTTTTTTTTTTTTTTTAAACTGTATTTTTAGACCTTCGGTTTTACCTTGACAAACATAATTTCCTTTCAATATTTAATATTCTCCAAAAGTTTATTCCTTAATTTCAAATGTTAAACCCTTTCCATTGCCATTCGATCACAATAAAAATTGACACCTTATTATTTCTTTAGGTTTCCTTGACCGCCCCTTTTTCACATTTTCCATCATGACTAACCGATTGCCATTACCATACAACAACAACGGTAGCATCGGCAGCAGCTACAACAAAGTCATGCCAAAACTCAATTTCCTATAGTAGCAATTTATTTCCGCTGACCACTTTTGGGTGCCAAAGCAAAGGCAAAAAACAACACCCGAAACCGACAAAACCACCATCACCAACCAACTCTGGCCACGGGGCAATACGTTTTGCACCTAAATGAAATGGTGGCAAACCATGGCACCGAACACTTGAACAGCTAACGAATGAAAGTATTTCGTTTCCGTTTCCGTTCTGCCAATGTTTTTTTTTGGCGTTTTGATGCCACTCAAATTCTTGTTCATGTTTCCATTACTTTTGTCGTTGTTGCTGTTGTTATTGCCTTTGATTTTCATAATTATGAGGTTAGAGCATTTTCTGTTTTTGTGCGGTTTGAGAATTCCATTGAAACGGTACTCATGTCTAAAAAGCACTTTAGCAAGCCAAAAGTGTTCCACCAAAAAAAAAAAAAAAAAATTGTAAGCAATGGAGGTATTGATGCAATCTGTCCATTGAAGTGAAACTAATGATGAAGAAGAAGAATAATTGAGGTAAAGAATTTTCAGTGCCATCAAAAAATGAAGGATTCGCATTGTACATGAGCATAAGTGTTCAGCGTTTTCTAAAAAAATAATGGAATTGCATCTCGCAGCAATCGATAGCACTTTTGACTTCTTTTTGTGTAGAAAATTTTTGAAATTTGTACAAAAAATGATTTTCAAAAGTACAATTAACTATGAATTTTGAAAAACATTGTACGGGAAATACATAATCCGAAGACTGCGAAATTTCTATATTCTAACTTATATTCTTCTCAAATATTGACAAACTTCATAGAAGGGGGAGAGTAGAAGAAGTCTCGGCTACCACGATTAAGGAAAGCTAACAAATAATCAAATAGACAACTTCAGTGGTTACAACTATAGAAGAAAGAATCGTTTTATATGCATTCAGTACTTCAGGACAGTATGTAGAAATATCCCATAATTTTATATGAATCCAAAAATATCAGTTGGTTTTGGCATCAAATGAATACCCTTATTCAATGGCCTTTTACTAATTTATTTGATAATTTAATATAAAACAAAAAGAAGGTAAAAACTAGTATATTCGGCCGGCCGAACTTTGAATAGCAGTTGGAACAAATTTGGATATTATCAAAATAAGAAAAAACAAGTAAAAAACATTAAGTTCGGCCAGGCCAAACTTTTAATACCCTCCACTTTGGGGTAAAGGAAACATTAGAGCCCTTTATGACCCATAGACATATTCATAAGAAAATGTGCAAAAAATCATCAAAATACCGAATATTGGGAAATACGGCTATATGGGGCTATAAATAAACGTGGACCTATACCTACGGTGTTTCGCCAAAAGACTAGAACCCATTAAGACCAAAAAATACCAATTTCTAGACAAATCCGGGAAGAAATGTGGCAAAAACCATCAAGGTACCGTTATATAGGGGCTATACCAAAACCTATAATTACAATGATTCGGAACACGAACTGAGACCCATTATGAACTACAACTACCAATTTTCAGAGATATTCGTGAAAAAATGTGTCAAAAATCATGAAAATACCGAATATCGGGAGGTACCGTTATATGGAGACTATACCAAAACCTTTAATTACAATGATTCGCCAAACGAACTAGGACCCATTATGACCTACAAATACCAATTTTTATAAACAACTAAGTGAAAAAATGTGGCTAAAACTATCAAAATACCGAATATCGGGAGGTACCGTTATGTGGGGGCTATACCAAACCGTGGACCCATACATGTAATGTTTCGCCACCGGAGCTGGAACCAATTATGACCAACAAATACCAATTTTTAGACAAATCTATGCAAAAATGAGGTAAAAATAATTAAAATACCGAATATCGGGAGGTACCTTTATATGGGGGCTATACCAAAGCGTGGACCTATACATGCAATGTCTCGCCATATGAACTGGGACCCGTTATGACTTACAAATACCAAGTTTCAGAGAAATCTGTGAAAAAATGTGACAAAAACCATCAAAGCTATACCAAAACGTGAACCGATATATCTCATTTTCAATACCAACCATCCTAGGCACAATACAAATTGGTCTGCTAAATTTTGAAGCTTTACGTCAAATAATGTGGGCTGTATAGTGATTTCAACAGATGAACATCGTTAAATCGACTTGAAATTTTATGCTGATTATGAATATTTATGGGGTCTACGACGAATATTGTGGATGTTACAAACGGAATGACAAAGTTAGTATACCCTCCATTCCAATGTGTATTACATTTGTCATAGATAAAAAATAGAACCCGTAAAAATTCGGTTACAATCATCAAAATATCGAATATAGGGAATTACCGATATTTAAAGGCCATACTAAGACCTGGATCACTGATGAAGTGCATGATCAAAGGGTTTTTTTTTAGAAATTCGGACGGTAAGTGCACAAAAAGTACTTAAATGTTCTACATTTGGTAGGGCTGTAATCCTAAACTTATAAATTGGGATTGCTCTTAAAGTGTAGGATTGGGTTATGTGCCGTACTAAGTTTGGCATATTTTCGATTATGGTATCGAGAGAGCTGGAGTCCTAAAATTTAGAATTATTTTTGGAAATATATATAACAAGAGTACGAAAGGTAATAAACGGTACAAAGTTTGGTATTAATTGCATGGTTAGGGTTAGATTTCGGAAATTTGATTTAAATGTTTCGCACTTTCGCAAACGATGTAGTGGGTGAGTAGGGGAGCATAAGACAGTGAGGGTTTCGGACAAGAAGTGTAGTAAAAAGCACTACATTTTGTACCTTTTAGGCATTTCGTGAACGGATCTGTTGATATAAGTAGGTGTTTTTTCTAAATATGTACTAAGTGTAACAACTGTACCGACAGAATTTCTCCTCTTGGGCTGGAATAGCTCGTCGGAGTCCAGGGGTTCGTACAGATATTTTATTTATTGAGACAGAAAGAGAAATACAGTGGTTTACGTTTTGAAATTACGTTTGTATTTATAGTGGAACTTAAACTATATATTATAACAACTATCCTACTCGTCTTCGGTCAGGGATTGGTGGTTATATCATTCGAGACAGGCTACAGGATATTAAAGGATACGGCTACAAGAGATCTTACTCTACAATGATCTAGGATACGGCTGCAAAAGACCTTAATAAGTACTCAAACACTACAGGATATTCAAGGACACGGTTGCGAGAGACTAAGTCAAGCACTATAGAAATAAGTAATCAAGCACTACGGGATATTCAAGGATGCGGCTGCGAGAGACCTTAATAAGTACTCAGGCACTACGGGATATTCAAGGATACGGTTGCAAGAGACCTTAATAAGTACTCAAGCACTACAAGGATCTAGGATACGGTTGCAAGAGACCTTAATAAGTACTCAAGCACTACAAGAATCTAGGATACGGTTGCAAGAGACCTTAATAAGTGCTCAAGTACTACAGGATATTCAAGGATACGGTTGTGAGAGACCTTAATAAGTACTAAGCACTACAGGATGTTCAAGGATACCGGATTGGTGTTGTCACGTTGAAGGTCTTGTACTTACTGTCCCGATTCTGCCATCGACTGCCCTTTTATACCCGACTCCTCCACGTGGTCGCAGAGGAGTAACGGGAAATTGTTTACAAAATTAGGTTATCAAAACAACATCACATGTGCTCATTACCGCCAATAGTGGTGATGAGTTATGCTGTCTGTTGTTGTGATAACGGTTTACCTTTATTGAATTTGGCTGGGCAAATTGTAATTTCTCATAGCGTTTTGTGTTGGCAAAAATGACGAAGGATATTTGCCGTCACACAACTGTAATAAATGGTACTAAATTGGGTACAATTTGGTGTTGGTTGAACGGATTGATCTGAAGATTTAAAGTGTTGGTATTGGGTTTCTACTGGAGTCTTCCTTGAGCCGTACTAAAAGCACTAAATGGTACTGCATTTGGTATTTGTGTAAGGGATTGTGTTGAAATTACAAAATTTGAAATTTGGGAAAAAGTACAAAAAGTACTAAATTTTAATAACTTGGGTATTTGGGGAAGATATAGGCCAAGGCTAGGCAAAGAGTATCCCTTGGGATATCTGTTTTGAATTTTCTGTCAAAATGGTTTTGGGAGAATATTTAGTTTTGTTCGAGCAGTCGATGAGGGAGGTGCTGTCTGATATTTTTATGAATACACCGTAGGAAATATTGGTGTACATAAATATATCTCATTACATATTTGAAACAAACATTTCCGAAATTGTAAAAATTACAACTTTTAAGATTTATCTTTTATGAATTATTTCTATTTGACAAAATTTGCATACGAGTTCACATGTTAGGAATATAAATACATTTAATATTGTTAGATACATTTATTGTCCTTCCAAATTAGTGGACATTTTCATATCCCTTGATTTCTCTGAAATGATATGTACTTTCTTAGTCAATATTAGGAAAAATAACAGGATGTGATGTTTGTCATTCTGTTTTTAAGTCATAGAAATAATATTTTAGGACTCTACGCAGGATATGAGTTTCCGATAAGCATAAAATTCTACGACAATTTGCGTATGTCAGCCTGTGGTATTCGGTATTACTTTTTAAAGGGTCAACTTAGATGGTTAG